CAGTCTTCTCTTGCATTTTTGTGTTATATCTAAGAAGGCTTTCCCTAATCCAAGGTCACAAAAATTTACTCTTCTGTACTCTTCTAAAAGTTTTATAGTTTTAAGGGGCACCTGGGTGGCTCAGTCAGTTAAGCGGCTGCCTTTGGCTCAGGTCATGATCCCAGGGTCCTGGGATCGAGCCCCACATCGGGCTCCCTGCTCATTGGGAAGCCTGCTTCTCCCTCTGCCTGCCACTTCCCCTGCTTGTGCTCTCTCTCTCTCTGTGTGTGTCAAATAAATCAATAAAAAGTATTTTTAAAAAAATGTTTATAGTTTTAGCTCTCACACTCATTCTTTTATCCATAAAGAGTCAATTTTTGTATAGTGTGAAGTAGTGATCAAATATCATTCTTTTGCTTGGGAATATTCAGTTATCACAGTACCATTTGTTAAAAAGACATTCTTTCTCCATTGAACTCTCTTGGCAAAAATCAATTGATCATAACTGTGAGGGTTTTTTTCTGGACTCTCAATTTTATACCTTTGTGGTAAGTTTTAAGTGTGAATCCCCCAGTTTTGTTCTTTTTCAAAATTATTTTGGTGATTGTGAGTCCCTTGCGTTTTCACATGGATGTTAGGATCAGCTTGTCAATTTCTGGGGAAAAAAAGATGGAATTTGATAGAGATTGCCTTGAATCTGTAGATCAATTTAGGGAATATTGCCATCTTAAAAACATTGTCTTCTGGTCCATGATACAGGGTATCTTTTTATTTACTTAGGTCTTTAATTTATTTCAGCAATGTTTTGTAGTTTTCTTAGTATAAGTTTTATACTTCTTTTGCTAAATTTATTCCTAAGTATTTTTTCATTTTGATCTATTGCAAATGGATTTTTTTCTTAATTTCCTTTTTAGATTGTTCGCTCCTACTATATACAGTCAATACATTGATTTTGTTGGGGGGGGAGGGGCAGAGGGAGAGGGAGAGAGAGAATCTTAAGCAGGCTTCATGCTCAGCATGGAGCCCAAGGCGGGGCTCCATCTCACGACCCTGAGATCATGACCTGAGCCGAAATCAAGAGTCAGACACTTAACCGAATGAGCTACCCAGGTGCCCCAATACATTGATTTTTATGTCTTGATCTGCATTCTTGCTTGACTCGTTTATTAGTCTATAGGTTTTTAGTGGATTCCTTAGGACTTCCATGTACAAGATCATGTCATCTTCAAATAAAAGGTAGTTGTACTACTTTCTTTTCTGGGTACCCTTTATTTCATTTTCTGGCGTAATTGCTCTGGCTAAAATCTCCAGTACAATATTAAATAGAAGTGGCATAAACAGACATCCTGGTCTTTTTCCTGATCTTAAGGGGAAAGCATTCAGTCCTTTAGCATTAAGCATGATGTTAGCTATGGGTTTTTCATAGATGCCGTTATCAGGTTGAAGAAGTTCCCTTCTCTTCCATGTTTGTGAGGGGTGTTTTCCTCATGAAAGGGTATGGAATTTGTCAAATGCTTTTTCCATGTCTAATACAATGATCATGTGGGTTTGTCCTTTACCTGTTTATATGGTGTATTAGCATATTGATTTTTGGATGTTCAACCTTGCACTTTATTTATTTTTATTTATTTTTTTAAAGATTTTATTTATTTATTTGAGAGAGAGAGTGAGAGAGCACAAGAGGGGAGAGGGTCAGAGGGAGAAGCAGACTCCCTGCTGAGCAGGGAGCCCGATGTGGGACTCCATCCTGGGACTCCAGGATCATGACCTGAGCTGAAGGCAGTCACTTAACCAACTGAGCCACCCAGGCGCCCCGGTTGAAGGGATTTTTAAAATATATTTTGTTGGGCATCTGGGTGGCTCAGTCATTAAGCATCTGCCTTCGGCTCAGGTCATGATCTCAGGGTCCTGGGATCAAGCCCCACATCGGGCTCCCTGCTCGGCAGGAAGCCTGCTTCTCCCTCTCCCGCTCCCCCTGCTTGTGTTCCCTCTCTCGTTCTGTCTCTCTCTGTCAAATAAATAAAATCTTAAATATATATATATATATATATATTTTGTTAACACTCACTACTTTCTTAGGCAGTATTCTGCTCTTTTCCTATGAAAATAGTTTTTAGTTCATGTATGTTATATTTCTTTTCTTTGTCCTTGAAACTCTATTCTTAGGACCATCTCATGGGGCCGAGTATATACAGTGTATGATAGAAACTCTAAGGTTTTTTGCTAATTGTTTCTCAGTGTTTTTTCTCTTCTGTACTTTGTGTCATTGCTGTCTCATACTTGATTTGAACCTTTTCCCCAAAACGATTAATTCAAGCTCTCATTTTGTTACATCTAAAAATATTTCAGGATCATCACTACCTACCCCCCATCCGAATGAGTTGGAACTCACTTTTCAAAGTAAAAAGATGGCACATCATTTTTGTTTTGTTAATATAGTGGACCAGTATTACATCTGAAGTAAATGGGAGTCAAAAGTTTAGTCAAGTAGTTCCAACGGTTAGGAAATCAGTTTTCACTGGCTATTTAGGAACAGAAATTACTATGTTTCATTCTTTTTTTTTTTTTTAAGATTGTATTTTTAAGGGTGCCTGGGTGGCTCAGTCAGTTGAGTGCCTTCAGCTCAGGTCATGATTCCGGGATCCTGGGATCGAGCCTCACAGCGGGCTCTCTGCTCAGTGGGGAGCCTGCTTCTCCCTCTCCCTCTGCCTGCCACTCCCCTCCTTGTGCTCTCTCTCTCTGTGTCAAATAAATAAATAAAATCTTAAAAAAAAAAGATTTTATTTTTAAGTAATCTCTACACCCAACATGGGACTCGAACTTACATCCCTGAGGTCGAATCACATGCTCTACTGACTGAGCCAGCCAAGCACCCCAGTTATGTCTCATCCTTATCAGAATTTTCACAGCCTAAAAATAAAAGCTTTTAGAACAGATTAGACTTGCAAAATCCCCAGGTACAACATTTATCAGAAATAATGGTCTCTTCTCCAGTCAATCAGGAGTTAGATGAAATGTTCATGTAAGAATTTCATTAAAACCCTGAGATGCACAGTCGCTGATATGACTTACTGGCTTCAACTCACCATTGTACTTTCTGTTTCTAAGAGTTGGTCTATAGGTAGCTAATATTAGTAGAGTCAGGCAGTATTTATCTTTTTGTGATTGGCTTATTTCACTTAGTATAATGTCTAAAAGGTTCATGTGTGTTGGCATATATGACAAGATTTCCTTCTTTTTAAGACTGAATAATTATTTGTTGAATGTGTATACCATATTTTCTTTAGTCATTCATTCTGCCAGTAGACAAATATGTAAGTTGCTTCTACCTCTTGGCTATTGTGGATAATGCTGCTATGAACATAGATGTAAAATATCAAGAATCTAATTTCAATTCTTTTGGATATGTACTAAGAAGTGAGTCTTTTGCCCCCCCCCCCCCCATTTTTTAAATGGGTTTTTTTTTTCTTATTGTTGAATTTTAAGAGTTCTTTGTATATTTTGGATATTAGTCCTTTATCAGATATGTGTTTTTCATATATTTTCTCCTATTCTGTGGCTTGTCTTTTCATTCTTTTACAGTGTCTTTCAAAGCAGAAGTTTTTAACTTAGAAAGTACAACTTACCAATTTTTTTTCCATGAATCATGCTTTTGGTGTTGTATCTTTTTAGATTACCTCGATTTTTTCTTACGATGTCTTCTGGAAGTTTTATACTTTTGCGTTTTACATTTAGATCTAAGATCCATTTGAGTTACTTTTTGTGGAAAGTGTAAGGTCTTCCAAAAGAAAGCACCAGGCCTGGATGGGTTCATTGGTGAATTCTACCAAACATTTAAGGAAGAAATTCCCTACAATCTCTTTCAGAGGATAGAAGCAGAGGGAATACTTTCTAACTCATTCTGTGAGGCTAGCATTACCCTAATACCAACACCAGACAAAGACATTATAAGAAAACTGTAGACTAATATCTCTTATGAATATATATGCAAAGTCCTCAACAAAATATTAGCAAATCAAATCCAAAAAAGTATAAAAAGACTTATACATCATGACCAAGTGGGATTGATCCCAGATATGCAAGGCTGGTTCAATATTCGAAAATCAGTTAATGTAATCCATCCCATCAACAAGCTCAACAAGAAAAATCATATGAATCTATCAAGAGATGCAGAAACGTCATTTGACAAAATCCAACACCCGTTCGTGATTAAAAAAAGTAAACTAGGAATAGAGGGGAACATTCTCAGCTTGATAAAGACTATCTACAAAAAATCTATTGCCAATATCATGCTTAATAGTGACAAACACAAAGCTTTCCCACTGAGATCAGGAATAAGGCAAGGAGGTCCTGCCCCCTCTTGCCACTCCTTTTCAACATCATACCAGCAATCCTTGCAAATGCACTAAGTTAAGAAAAGGAAGTAAAAGGTATACAGATAAGTGGTTGCTAGGAGGAGGGGGAGGGGATGAATAAGCAGAGCAAACAGGATTTTTAGGGCATTGAAAATACTCTGTCTATTATGCTGGATATATGTTGTTACACATTTGTCCAAACCTGTACAATGTACAGCACCAGGAGTGACCCCTAAAATAAACTGTGGATTTCGGGTGATTATGATGTGTCAGTGTAGGCTCATTCTTGTTAGAAAAAAAAAAAGTACCATCTAGTGAGTGATGTTGATAGTAAGGGAGGCTGTTCGTGTGTGGGGGCTTAACACTTCCTAACCAAGATTGAACATTTTTTTTTGACATGCACAGCCTTTTCAGAGCATAAAAAAGCCAATGGAAAATTTGGCCTTAGCTCATCCAGCCCAGTGTTCTGTCTGTGACTCAAGGGGTTATTTTATGGGAAAACAACAGTATATACTTCAAAGACTATAATATTGTTTTGAAACATACTTTTCCAAAAACTGCAGATGACTTTTATAACTCTTTGCTTATTTATTAGCATAAATTGCTGACATTTTCCTATACCAGTACATTAATTACTTTTGATCTTTGCCCTCTTTGTGGTCCTAGGTTGGTTCATTCTGGCTCCGGATGTCGATCACCCTCACTTGGATCTGACCTTACCTTTGCTACCAGAACAGGCTCTCGGCAGGGCATTGAGATGCATCTCTTCAGGGTGGAGACACATCGGGATCTGTCAACTTGGACCAGGATACTTGTTCAGGGTTGCCATGCTGCTGCTGAGCTAATTAAGGAAGTCTCTCTAGGTATAGATCCTGACATACCGTTTCTAATAGTAATTACATGGAAATGTTATATTTTGTTTTGAAGTAAAAACCAGGGACGTCTGCGTGGCTCAGTTGAGCATCCAACTCTTGATTTCAGCTCAGGTCATGATCACAGGGTCCTGAGATCAAGACCCACATTGGGCTCTGCACTGGGTGTGGAACCTGCTTGGGATTCTCCCTCTCCCTCCCACTTATGCCCTCTCTCTCTCTCAAATAAATAAATAAATCTTAATAAAAAGGGGCACCTGGGTGGCTCATTCAGTTGAACATTTGCCTTCCACTCAGGTCATGATCCTAGGGTCCTGGGATCGAGCCACGCATTGGACTCCCTGCTCGGCAGTGAGTTTGCTTCTCCCTCTCTCTCTGCCTGCCACTCCCCTTACTTATGTTCTCTCTCTCTGTCAAATGAATAAATAAAATATGTTTTTTTAATCTTAAAAAAAATAAAGTGAAAACCGTTATCGTATGGGCCAGACTCAAAAATATTCTTTTTTTTTTTTTAAGATTTTATTTATTTGACACAGATAGAGCGACAGCGAGAGAGGGAACACAAGCAGGGGGAGTGGGAGAGGGAGAAGCAGGCTTCCTGCATAGTGGGGAGCCCAATGCGGATCCCAGGACTCTGGGATCATGACCTGAGCCAAAGGCAGACACTTAACAACTGAGCAACCCAGACGCCCCCAGACTCAAAAATATTCTAAAATATGGCAGCTTAAAATGATCATGATGGAAGAACCTGGTTTTTCTGTTTCAGTAGTAAAATTTTCCTAAGCCTTGTACATGGCTGCATCATAACACCCTGTGTACAGCATGGCAGTTTTGCTGTTCATCTTTTTAATCTGTATGTGATAGTATAAGGACTCATTTACTAAGTACTAGACGCACTAACCCTCTAGTTCAGAAGATTTAGAGTCTAAGATATGGAGAGAGACCCTTAAAATGTGGGCATCTGGCAAGGCTTATGGCTTTAGAGAAATAAGAATAATTTTGAGTAGGAGTTTGTTTTGAAAAGTTTGAAAATGTGTGCCCAGTACTTACCGAATGAAATAAACCTGGTAGTGTCTTTTCATTGTTGAAGCGCCCTCTTGTGGCTAGTCTATATGGGCTTCATTTGTATATGTTTGTGTGTATGTACTGTATATATATGTATAGATATTTCCAGATTGCTTTTCATTTTAACAAGAACAAAGAATAGTCAAAATGAAGGCACAGAGTTTCTAATATGATTTGAATGAATTTTATTATCTTGGTTCCAAGTCAGTTTACTTTTGTTCCTGTTTTCTATGTATTTTATTTTATAAACAGTTTTATAGAATTTTATAAAAAGAGAAAATGTTTAAAGGGCAGAGTGTCTTACAATTTACCTTTCTTTCCGTTGCTTCTGGAAAGTGAGGGATCTCCATGGCTTTAGAACTGCATAGGCAGCATTTCCGTGGGTCATCTTCTAACACTGGCAGAGGGACAGTTTTTTAAATGTTGTCAAAATGACATAATTCTTCAACTCTTTAGTAATTGCTTGATATTTTCCTTACAACCACAGTGATAATTCAAGCAGTGATACCAATGACTAGTAAGACCCCACCTTGGATTTCTACCAAAGCCACCATATCCACACTGTCTTTCTCACTTGTGTGTTTCCTGCCCATTTTCTTGATGAAGTGATTGGTGACCACATTAAGGGCTGCTGGGCTCTGGTTTTAGTCTTGGCCACAGAATGTGCTTTCAGGGATGTGTCCTCAATGTGAAGGTCTGCAGTGCCCTGTGTTCCTTTGGGGAGCCCAAGAACATTCATTAGGCCCTTTACTGGCATCTGGGATCACCATATCTTCTTTTTTTTTTTTTTAAAGATTTTATTTATTTATTTGACAGAGAAAGACACAGCGAGAGAGGGAACACAAGCAGGGGGAGCGGGAGAGGGAGAAGCAGGCTTCCCGCCGAGCAGGGAGCCTGATGCGGGGCTCGATCCCAGGACCCCAGGATCATGACCTGAGCTGAAGGCAGATGCTTAACGACTGAGCCACCCAGGCGCCCCTCACCATATCTTCTTTAAGAATCCAAAGAGAAGGGCGCCTGGTGGCTCAGATGGTTAAGCGTCTGCCTTCAGCTCAGATCTTGATCCCAAGATCCTAGGATCAAGCCCCCCCATCAGGCTCCCTGCTCAGCAGGGAGTCTGCTTCTCCCTCTCCCACTGCCCCTCCCCCCCGTTTGTGTGCTCTCTCGCTCGCTCTCTCTCAAATAAATAAATAAATTCTTTAAAAAAAGAAAAAGAATCCACAGAGATATGTTTCCCAAAACAAAGAATGCAACTTAAATTTTTAACATTTTTTAGTTTCATGTTGCTGCTTTGGTGTCTGGCAGCTAAACTTCTGGCAGGAAACAAAAATCTGTCCAGTCCCTGGCTCACAGTTGTTTAAATACAGATGGCTTGAGGAGGAAAGAGAGACTAAGGATTGGTTGGGTCCTTATACTTTAAAATAGACAAAAGAAACATATTTTTTGGTAATTTTGAACTTTTTAATTCTCATTTACAGCTATATTTTAATATTACCTTGGTAGTACTTTCATTTCCACAATTCAGGTCAACTGATGTACTTACTAATCACTTACTCTGTATTTAGAACTCTGCCACATGTATTAAACTGGCTGAAGGTAAACTGCTTTGATGAGAGCCAGAATTCTTTTAAAATGTGTGTGTGTGTGTGTGTGCATGCACCTAATCTATTATGTCTTTTTAAGATTTTATTTATTTATTTGACAGAGAGAGATACAGCGAGAGAGGGAACCCAAGCAGGGGGAGTGGAAGAGAGAGAAGCAGGCTTCCCTCAGAGCAGGGAGCCCGATGTAGGGCTCCATCCCAGGACCCCAAGATCATGACCTGAGCCGAAGGCAGACGCTTAACAACTGAGCCACCCAGGCACCCCTATTATGTCTTAATATGTGTATGCTTAATGTGCACATCCACATTCGCATATATACACACATTCATACAAGCATGTCCTTCAGATGCATGTTACCACTTTGTGTTAAATTGTTGGGAGATTCAGAAAGGTTACTATAATTATGGGGACGCCTGGGTGGCTCAGTTGGTTAAGCAACTGCCTTTGGCTCAGGTCATGATCCCAGGCTGCATTGGGCTCCCTGCTTAGTGGGGAGCCTGCTTCTCCCTCTCCCACTCCCCTACTTATTCTCTCTCTCTCTGTCAAATAAATAAATAAAATCTTTTAAAAAAAATAAAATAAAACTATAATTATGGCACATTGTACTACCTATTCAGATATCCATGGCCTAAAGAATGTTAGGAAGTTGACAAGAAGAATCATTTAAGCTCTCTTTCTTTCTCTTATGTGTTTTCGTTATGGTTTACTCATTTATTTATTTTTTGTATAGTTTAATCATTTAGAAAAATTTCAGTGACTACCTGTAAGATTTTGCTAGTGAATGCAGTACATGAACTTCATAATGTTCATTTAGTTTTAAAGTTTTATTAGATTACAGTAGAATTGATCTGTGATCCTTCCAGTACACAAGGACTTTTTCCTTTTAGCAAATATGAACCTCAAGATCACTAGGCAGGGCGCCTGGGTGGCTCAGTCGTTAAGCGTCTGCCTTCAGCTCAGGTCATGATCCCAGGGTCCTGGGATCGAGTCCCACATCGGGCTCCCTGCTCAGTGGGAAGCCTGCTTCTCCCTCTCCCACTCCCCCTGCTTGTGTTCCTTCTCTCGCTGTGTCTCTCTCTGTCAAATAAATAAATAAAATCTTAAAAAAAAAATCACTAGGCAGAGAATGCAGTTAATTCCCTTTGGTATATAAAACCATTTTCCATTTGTTACAGGAATAAAATATGAAAATACATATATGTATATAATTGTTTGAACTTTAATAAGTATGCTTTTAAAGGCTAATTTCATCATACCAATTACCCAAACTATTACAATTTTTAAATCAAATAAGAATTTTATGAAGATACTTCGCATTTCTGTAGTTTTGATGTTATAAAGACTAAGAAGTGGGCGCCTGGGTGGCTCGGGTGGTTAAGCGCCTGCCTTCGGCTCAGGTCAGGATCCCAGAGTCCTGGGATCGGGTCCCGCATCGGGCTCCCTGCTCCTTGGGAGCCTGCTTCTCCCTCTGCCTCTCTCTCTCTCTCTCTCTCTCTCTCTCTGTCTGTCATGAATAAATAAAAAAAAAAATCTTTAAAAAAAAAAAAAGACTAAGAAGTAGTAGATATAGGAGGAGTTACATTAGTAAATATGCAGAAAATCTGCAAGAGGAGAAGAAAAATGAGCGTTTTAAAGTATTTATACTGTTAGCATATATGATGAAAGTTTGCTTTTACAATATTCTCAATTTTGTAAAATTCTCTTGAATTTTTGTTCATCTACTGGACAAATATGGATTGAGTATATACTCTGTACTGTTACTGTGGCTGTACTAAAATAGACACAGTAGGCATACCCCCTGCCTTTGAAGTAGGAAGGGCAGAAGGAGAAAGAATAATGAGTACTTATCAGGATTGTTACAAGTCATAAATTGAATGCATGTTTCCTCTGATCCTAACACACACACTTCTAAGCCAAGTTTTATTACCTCTATTTGTAAGATGAAAGAACTGGGGTTAATATGGCAAGGGGTTGAATTGGGTCTTTTCTGACTCCAAAACCAGTGCCTTAAGCCCCTGATTTTCCCCCTCTAAATGACTCATTCTTATGCCCAGATTAAACTCCTAGAGGACATGTATACAGTATCAGTTTCTCTTAATTCATTAAATCAACAAATATTTATTTAGTGTTTTATTACTTACAAAGTGCTGTGCTTTGTAATGAGAGAAATAAAAATAAATAAGACCTATTTCATGCCTTTGACAAAATAGCTATAAGAAAGGAACATAGTGCCATGTTCTTTGTAATCCTGGGCATGATCAGCCCATTGATTATACCTGATAGACTGGCATTTTGTTATGTGCAGGAATGGAGAATGTAGCT